CCCCAAAACCCCAAAACCCCAAAACCCCATATAGGGACAGAAATGTTGAAGGTAAATAAATGACTAATCTAGAGGAAACTTGGAGAGTACCCTTGGCAGAAAGGATATCGGCATTGAACCATATTGAGGAGAAATCAGATCCTTATAAACAATTTGAGAATGAGCTTAAAGGTATACCTAATTACTTAAAACCTCAAAATGGACATCCTGAGGAGAAAGGTCTTCTTGATAGATATTCAGAATCCTGAAAGAAAAACAAGACTATTAAATCATACCTTGATGCAATTGAAGAAGTTGATAAAATGGATAACCGAGTAAAGGAAGAATTCGATCCCATTAAAAAGGAAGAAGACGATGCAAGGATCAAAGACCCATGCTTGTCTAAATTATGAAAGAATTTTCCATCATTCCAGGAAATGACATCCAAGAACCTGTATTCTAAAGGAAAGGATAGTTTAACTTTCTCTACTTTGCCAAATGCATCTCAGTACCAATTTATGAACGCTCCTCTGTACATTGACCCGTGCCAGGAGACCAATAGTGGAGGGAAGTATAGTCAGTACTTTGTAGATTTCTCTAAATTTCCTGTGTATTTCAATACACCCAAAGAAGCATGAGATACTTACAATGGATTAGGCCTGAGCAAGAAGATCCACTTTAAGAAATACAATATCAAGCGAAATGAGAATGACTTCGTGACTGGCTTCACCCTTTGCTGCCATAAGAAGAACATCAAAAATAAAGCGATGGGCAATGTAGACGAAAACGGCAACCCTATTGAAGGAGGAGACTGCCCAGTTATGGTAAAATTTGCATGGGATCTCCAGAGACAATGATACGTTAGAGTCTGTAGCCCAGTTATGAAACATAACCATAAGCCAGAGATCAAAAATCGGCTGATGATGACCAACTCTACTGTCAGAAATGAGGTCAAATGTTTGGTAAAAGCTGGTTTGAGCTCTGCAACAATTGCAAGTATCATGAGTCATAAGTACCAGACTACATTCCAATACGGGTTCATTTATCAGCAAGCAAGGAGGATCAAATTTGGCAACCTCCATGATAGAGATATTAGCGATGCTGAAAAGATTATCTGCATGCTCGAAGAGCTCAAGGCTCAGGATCCAGATACAGACTGGCTCTGAGAGTACGAAAAAGATGGATACCCACATGACCTGAATAAAATCATAGTCATGACTGGTAAAATGAAAAGATTTTACTTGAAATATCATGATGTAGTCTTCATGGATGCAACATACAAGACTAATAAGCATGACATGGCCCTGACTATCTTCTCTGGAGTCAACTGAGATGGCAGGAATACAGTCTTGGGATATGCCCTGGTAAAAAAAGAAACAGCAGAAAGCTATAAATGGCTTCTCAGTAATCTGGTAAAACTATCAGGAGTTGAGCCTGGAGTTATTCTTACAGATTTCGATCCTTCAATGTGTCATGGAATTGAAAGGATATTCAGGAACACGACTCATCTTCTATGTCAGTGGCATATGATGTGAAATTTCAAGAGACATTTCTTCTATCTGAGAAAGAAGAGATCAGGAGCTGCCAAAATTTTACACCAAAAGATTATTGATACCATATTCTGCAGAACTCCCAAAGAATTTCATGAGAATCAAGAAATAATTTTCTCTAGTGATGATCTCCTCGACCCTCAAAAGATGGGCTACTTGCGTAAAATGTTTTCTATTAAGGAGAAATGGGCTGCTGCATTTACTCCAGCTCTATTCCATGCAGGAACACACACAATCTCCAGAGCAGAAAGTGTCAACTCTCAAGTTAAATCAAAGGTGTTCAGGAGATCTTCCCTTTGAGACATTTTTAAATTAATGAACGATATCATAGAAAAATGTATTAAAAAGAGTGTTTTAGATCGGACCCAGTGAAAAGAGAAGCATCAGATTCATCATCCTTTGCTGAAGAGTATATACGAAAACTACTCTAGTTTTGCATACAACCACATGATGTACCAGTACATGCTTTCTCACTCATTAATTGTGAAAAAAATTAGAAGTGATGGAGACGAATGATCTCACTCTGGCCAGTACATGGTCAAAGATGTAGACGATCGGGAGAAATACACTGTTGAAATATTTGAAAGTCCCAATCCTCAAGTCGGTCTGACAATCAACTGTAAATGCAAGTTTAGAGTCACTCAAAGACTCTACTGAGCTCATATCCTAGCTACAATGAATGCATGTCAAATAAAAACATGTGAGAAGTTTGAGCCAGAAGACCGTTGGCTTGACAAACTTGACAATTTCCTCCCAGAGCCCGATAAGACCATCAAAGCCATTAGAAACGGTGAAGACACAAAGAAAGAGAAGCACGAAAACTCTCAAGAACTCCTCAACAGCCAAATCAAAAAGGAAGAGTCATTTCAACCCCTTGAAGACGAAGACGATCTTGACTAATTTTCTATATTTCAATAATTTCTACTATTTTTGGGGTTTTGGGGTTTTGGGGTTTTGGGGTTTTGGGG